GTGACGCCGGAAGACGTGGAGCAGTACTGGGACGACGTGAATGGTGGGTTTTTGCCACCAGACCGAGTCAGGGAGGCACGTCAGCTCGAGTTGGACTATCTTAGGAAGCAAGAGGTTTACGAGAAGGTGCCGCTCGAGGAATGCCTCAGAGAGACCAACGGGAAGGGTCCAATCACCACCCGTTGGATAGACACCAACAAGGGAGACCCCGCCAATCCCAACTTCAGGTCGAGATTGGTGGTCCGGGAGATCAAGGCCCGGAAGAGTCCAGAGGAAAGGATTCCTCAGAACATGCTGTTTTCGTCAACACCGCCTTTAGAGGCTATGAGGCTGCTATGTAGCCTATGGGCCACTGAGCGTGTATCCCATGGAGGACGACCACTCAAGATCGGACTTTGGGATATATCAAGAGCCCACTTCTATGGCGTACCCAAACGCCGCATATACATCCAGTTGCCGGACGAGGACGCCAGTCCGGGAATGGTGGGTCGTTTGACTAAGTCGATGTACGGGACACAGGATGCCCCTAACATATGGCAGCAGCACTACACGCAGCTGTTGATCAAAGCCGGATATCTCCGGGGAAAGTCAAATGGCTCAGTGTTCTATCACCCGACACTGGGAATAAGAGTGCTGGTGCACGGAGATGATTTCATGGCGTTAGGAGACGCCGAGGCGCTGAAGGAAGTAGATACTTTGCTTCGCAGTGCCTACGAGTTGAAATGGCTCGGGACGATAGGTGATGAGGAAGGAGACCACAAGGAGGTCCACTTTCTCAACCGGCTCATTCGTTGTGAACAACATCAAGGAGCGAGTGCGATCCTGATCGAGCCAGATCGACGCCATGTTGATTTGCTTGTGCAGCAGCTTGGCATGGAGAATGCCAAGGGAGCGGAGACACCGGACGTGAAGAAGTCCGTGGATTTGCAGATGCAGGAAGCCCGGAGCCCAGCTCTACCGAAAGAGCAGGCTTCCCTGTATCGCTCATGCGTGATGAGGGCAGCGTACCTGTCACAGGACAGGTTGGACATCAGCCACGCTGTGAAGAATCTTGCGAGGAAGATGGTTTCTCCTACAGAGGCATCTTTGCAGGATTTGAAGCGACTGTGTCGCTACCTCATCAAGAAGCCGGACGTGTGTCAGGTCTTTGCACGGCAAGCCAAGCCGAGCAAGCTCCGAATCCAGGTGGATTCCGATCATGCCGGAGACGCAATAACGAGGAGATCCACAACAGGCATGGTTGCTCTGTATGGGTTGCATGTGCTCAAGCACAGCAGCAATGTGCAGTCGACCATCGCTTTGTCGACTGGGGAGTCGGAGTATTATGCTCTTGTCAAAGGAGGTTCAGTTGGTCTAGGCCTACAGTCACTCTTGGAGGACTTTGCGGTCGAGACCCAGGTGCTGATTCAATCAGATGCGACTGCAGCAAAAGGAACTGTCAATCGGGCAGGTCTGGGAAAGGCCCGTCACATCCAGACGAGGTTCCTGTGGTTGCAGGAAAGGGTCAGCATGGACCATCTGAGGGTGGAGCATACCCCTGGCAAGTCCAACAGGGCGGATGCTCTAACAAAGAGCATTCCAGGTGTACAGATGTCTGAGACCATGCGAAGGTGTGGTTATGTTTTCCTTAACCAGCGTAGCAAGGGACAGCTTAAGCTACTAGAAGGCTAAGGTCCCTGGCCAGACTCCGCTACCTATATTGCTGTGCGAGCGTGTACAGAGACGCTCTTCCAGCAAGGAGGAGTCATGATATGTATAGTCATAATTGCCCAATGCGCTGATTGCACTCCGTGTGGTTTTGGCTCAAGAAAAGGGTGCGCTCCGCAGTGCACCCCAGAGCCGAGATATTGCATTTTGATTTTTGGCTGTGCTTCTGAAATGGGATATAAGAAATCCTGAGCCCAAGAACATAGGGCCCAATCGTTTTTTCCACCCCATACCATGTTGCCCATTTGAAACATGGCTTTTTCCACCAAAATACAGGGAAACCACCATTTACAAGGCAATGTTCAGGTGTACAATGTAAGGATCCCTGTCGCTTGTTAATCGTTCTGTCTAGGAAAGATGTTTCTCCAGATTCATTTAGACTCCCATTTTGCACCACACAGTGATTGAGGGGTCCGAAATTGGGAAGGGGCCCCTTGTAGCATTTTTAAAGGGAATTGACCCAGAGGAAATATTCCCGCCGAGGTACTTGGGACGAGCCCTGAAGGACGACCAAATGTCCATTATCCACCACTACCAGCAGCTGGCGGCTCTTTTGGCATCATTTTCTGCATTTCCAGGTTCGCCGAGCTCGTTTTTGTTTCTTCTTTTTTCTGAAACTGGTTGGACCTCTTGTGATTTGGATTCCCTAGATGTCCCTTTACCAACATTTCCTTTGCCCACATGGGCCGCATGTTATTCTTGGACCACGAGGCAAGAGCCGTCCTATCCCCTGGCCCACAGCGGTTTCGCTTTGAGCGGCGGCCTGCTGAAGAGCCTTGCACAATGCCTTGTGAATCATGATATCTGTGGTTTCAGGGGGGGACACGGACCTACTGTGGATTTCGCACCACCTAAGAATTCATTGGTTTCAACCATGGTTCCTGTGTTTTTTTGCTGCATGGAGTTGTTATTGATCAATTGATTTTCGGGCGCCGTAGTTAGTGTTGATTGTAGTTTGCTGTTTGTTGGCTTCATGCCGTTTGTCTTCTCCCGAAAGCTGACCGCAAAGAGGCTTGGCCTTGTTCGAAGCTTGCACCTGGGTTGCAAGATGTTTGCACCTGGGGGGGGGCAAGACAGTAGGCACAACAGCGGGTGTGATTTTGCTCGCCCTGTCCGGCTGGACTGGCTTTTTGTCATCTGCCTGTAGAAACATGATCCGCATGCGGGGCAAATTGCGTAGACCTGTATTTCTGGGCGAGTCCATTTCCCGAACCCCCCCCCTCATTTGACTCTCTGTTTTTGTCCCTTGGGAGTCCGATCGATACGTTTCGCTCTTCAAGGTTGTGCCTTTCTTTTTTTTTATGCTGAGATCCAAACAATTAGCGGGTTCCTTCAACCGCACTTGTGGTGCTTTGCTGTGTTGTCTTTCCTCACGCATGTTTGGCTTCATGTTTTTTTCAGCTGGCAAAGCTGGTCTCGTAAAGCCAGGTTCCACCCAAGGCCCAACAGGGCTCGGATTACCCGATACGCCCAAAAAGGGTCTTAAACCCAGTGGCTCACGCATTCTAAAGAAGCGACGTTCAAAGTGTTTTTGGGGTTACCCTCACCCACACTGAATGCCAAAAAAAAAGCGGAACTCAAACAAAAGAGTGATCTCCTTTTTAATCTTCCCTTGGAACCTTTTTCAACGACAATCACCCAGCCAGCCAGCCAGCCACCCACCCACCAACCCACCTACCCACCCACCCACCCACCCACGCACCCACGCACCCACCCACCCACCCACGCCACCCGCCCGCCCACCCACCCGCCCGCCCGCCCGCCCACCCACCCACCACCCACCTAGAATTCCCTGAGGAAGCTGGTGAAGGACTTGGAGGAGAAGCCTTTGGGGGGAGGCCAGCAGATCGAGCCGGTTTGGGAGCTGGCCAATCGCCTCAGCACCTGGGACATGTTGTTGCCACCCTGAGAAAAAGGTGACTCCTCGTTCATTTGTACTGGCATACTGTGAAACCAGGTTCAGTCATGCTAAGAGGAGGCATTGTTGGGGAGCCTAATAATTCTGTCCAATATGGAACCTACATGAGATCCTTCTTGGGGGGTCCCAGGATCCCCCCCCAAGTCAGGTTCGGTGAAAGCACACCCAAAGTTGTACTTCCAAAAAGCCCAAAGCCCAGATGCGATATGTGAGATGGGACACTGGCAGACTTTGCGGGCATTTTGCAATGTCTCAAGGGCTTAGTACTCTGTCAATTTCGCATCCCAGAATGACCATGGCTTTCGCGTGGCAATGTCCACAGCACAGCTTGCCTTGGAATTTGATTTATTTCACTTGTTGGGGGGCATGCCTTTTTTGTAACCGTGGACAGCTACGCTACCTTTTCCAATTTCTGACCAGGGTTGACCTTTCGGAAAAGCGGACCCCAGCCCTACCTCTTGACAAGAGGAAACGGCTGACTAGCCGTGATTCCATTTGCCTTAGTACGTAACCCAGGGAGCTACGGACATTTCTCGGTGTCATTTGGGGCAACTGCTGGGCAACCTATTTGTGGGCGTTCACCATCGCCCCCCCCCCCCGACCCTCTATTTAACACCCTGAGCCTGACTCTTGACAGAGAAACTCTGCCAACAACACCTCCAGCAAGAAACATGGCTCGGGCGAACATCAGAGATGGAGGCTCCAACAGCAACTCAGAGCAATGCCTCTTGCTGCACTAGCTGAGGTAAAATGGGTGTCGCCATCACTGACCGGCAGGACAGGCACACACTTCTTGTGGCGCAACATGGCACACTTTGCGATATCTTCACTATTGCTGCGCTGTTGCTTGTGTTGGTTCAATGCCGCCAAAGGGTAGGCCAGTGTAGCCAGCGCGTCAAAAAGGCTAGCGCACAATATCCTCGGGCAACCATCTTATTATAGATCTTATCGTTGCAGAGACTGTAACAATTTTGAAGGAACCCTGTCAGATTCAACCGGCCAGCATGCTGCTGCCTTTGTTGAGAACAGGACTCTTGAAAGGGCTTGATGTTCAAACAAAAACGGGTCCAAAGACATAAGTCAAAAAGAACCAGGATGCCCATAATGTCTGCCATGCTTCTACCCAACATCATATGTGCGGTATTTATCAGGCGTGCCCAGGGGCACATAGTTGAGCCCCTTTCAACGTTTTCTTGGTTGGACACTTTCTTGTACAAAAAGAAGAAGCAAGATACATTGTGATGGACAACGCTCTGATTTTAGGCAGAGGACGCAACTGCCATTTCCCACCGCCCCTCGTGTGACAGCTTAAGCCTCGAAATGGGCTGCTTCCAGAAGGGTTTGGAGTGAGCAGGTTAACTCAACAGGTTGGCTCATGTCGGTCCCTCAGTTCGGATAAGTGGCTTCGAGGTTTGAGCCCTCTTGAGGATAGATGGGAACCCCCTCACCTTGCCACCAATCCAAACCAGGAAGGCTTGGCACACCCGCCTTTTTCTTCTGCGAGGGTTTCTTCATTGTACACCAGGCTCATTTTTCTGGCCCAACTGGGCATGTTCTTCCCCGAAGGATGCCTTCTGCGCGCAGTTCGGCCCTGGCTGCAGCACCTGGGTTCGGCGCCTCGACGTCTTCCGCAGCTCCTTTCAGCTGAAGGCGGAGCAGGTGGTCATTGCAGTGAAGACGGTGGAGCCCTTTGGCCCAGAAACATATCCCTTTGGGCAAAACGGCCAACAGGACAATAAATTCTGGGGTCATGATTCTGAGGGTTTCTATGGATTAAAAGTTAAAAGTCAGAAGCGATGGGAATGCTGTGAGCGGTGTGTTTCTCGGTGTGAATGGTGTATTTTCAGGGTTGTGGGATCAAGGGCTTTATCCCCACTTCTGTGATACAAGGGAATCTCCCCCTATGTATGGGGGGTTTGTCTTTGGGAATTCCTTTCATTTCCATTCTGTTGTATCACAGAAGTGGTCATTTCCCACAGCCCTGCTCATTTTGCAAGCACAGAAACAGGCCACTTTACTGCAAAGCAACTATAGTTCAGTTAGCATTTCTATCTTCAGTTGGGTTTTGTAATTGGAGCAGCTTCGCAAATAGGAGTTTGGTTCAACTTAGTTAGCTTGTTTTAATCTCAAATCAACAGAACTGAAGTTGCATTGTCTCGAGTTGTGTTATTGGTGTTTATCTGGTTTCAAGGGGCAGGCCAATCGAAAGACACAGAAATACTTTCTTGTTGTATTAAACTCCACTCATAACATAGTTAAACTTCAATAGCATAGAAGATAACAATTTGAATTAAATTATGACCTGACCAAGTTTAGCTTAATTTCAACTCAAGTGTTCATCAAACTCCTTTGGATCCCTTTTCAACAGACACAGGCATATGTTTTCCAAAAAAAACTGGCAGGATAACATATTGGCTCGCGGTAAATGTTTCAACTGGAAAAGCAACGAAAAAGACAAGCAATCTGGCAGGGGACATACTTGGCACATGGTAAATCGAAAACCGAAACAAGAACAACAAAGCGAGAAATCGGGGAAACACAATCTGGGAGGGAAAAGTCCATGCCAGGACGGCATATGAGCAAGAACCAACAAATCCTTTGTCAGATTGTGTGTTGTTCTCGTTCAGTTTTTTCCTCTTTTCGGTTTTAGACTTGTATGTAAGAAGATCCAAACATTTCCTTTGTCAGACTTTGTGTTTTTCCCCCGATTTCTCGATGCATTTTTCTGGTTTGAATCTCGGAAGATCAGAAGCCAAAAAAACACCGTTCAGGATATTCCTTTCTGACTCAGAAACCGGGGTCGTTTCCCTTCAACCTACAACTGTTACAAGGGGGGACGTTGACAATCCTAAAATTATGGGGCAGCCATTTCAGTCATTGCTTGGTATCATTACGCAAGTTGGGCTTTTCTCAAGATTTAAGACTTGAACATAATATGACAAGGGCTTCCAGTTGTTCAGCTGCGCCTTTTCTTCGTGTGGTGGGTTTCCCACCAAGAACCACTCAAGAAGGAAAGGATCTCACCGGTTTCAACTGGGAGGCGGGGGGGGGGGGGGGGCTCCCATTCCAAGACAGAGCCGATTGGAGTTGTTCGGTGGCACCCATTTTCCCGTTGACTTTTGTACTGGCAATCGTCCATACCAAACGAGGCTCCTAGGGTCACCGGACTGGGGCCCAGCTTTCCGGCGGCACCGAGGAAGTTTCACTCGGTGCGACTCCCGCTGTTGAGGGAGTTCTGGACCGACGACAGCGAGGTGGAGGTCCTTTTCCTCAGCAACACCGGCGCCCCGCTGCGAAGCGAAGCGGCGGGGGGCGCCGCGATCCAGTTGGCCCAACAAGGAACTCACTTGCCCCAAGCGAATTGGTTTTCCTTTGGACCTGTTTGGTTTTGCATGGTGGCCCTTTGTTTCTGGACCCTTTGGGCAACGGGAGGCAACCATGGAGATCCATCATGTAAAATCTAGAGCTGAGCTGCGTGGTATTTCGCCATAGTGGAGCATGATTCCGGGGCAGAATGGTTCAGAATGCTAGAACGCACTTGTTGTCAAAGAGAGTCGATTCGTTGTTCCTATAGGATCCCTTCTGATTGTCCCCACTTTCGGTCGTGCTGTTCGATGCTTTCCTCAAATGGCAACAAGGGATGGCAGTTGCATGGTACAAAGACCGCCATATCCATTCTGATTTAATGATCATGCATCATGGGTGGTGGTTTTCCGCGGTTGATGATTGCTTGTTGCCTTCAAAGAATATGTAGCTAGGCGTGCCCCGCTATGTGATTATAAGATAGTAAGGTAAGCCCCGCGACATATTGCTTCTTGAACGTCACATGCGGGACAACGTTTGGAACCCAATCAGGGGGACTTGATAAGAAGGTAAGCGCCTTTTTCGGACACATGGGGATTCTAGCAGAAGATCTCCTGTTTCGAAACCTGCCTGCCCCGACAGCTCTGCCGCTTGCTGGAGGCCACCCGGCAAATAGGCCCAAGGCCAAAGCCCTGAAGCTGCCGCTTGTTCACTGAAACAAATCCGTTCCTGCCGTGGGCGAGGGGTAAACCGCCGGCTTTGCCGTTTGCCCGCCCTTAAGGCACAGTTTGGTCATTCGGCTCCCAGGTGTTCCATGCTGAGACCGGGCCTTGGAGTCGTAACGAAACAGCTGCTCTCAAATCAGGAGGGGGATGTCCTGAACCGAAAGGCGTCAAACAACTGGCGAGGTGGGGACCCAAAGGTGGTGGACCTCAGCAAGGAGTTCGGGGACATGGTGGATCCTAGCAAGGAGCCCAACTGGAATCCAGAGTGGTGGTGACGGGTGACGGGTGGTGCACATGTGTCCTTTTGCGTTTTTTGGGGAGGCTGGCCCTCGTGGCCACTATGGATGGCCATGGCAATTCCTGATTTGAGCAGCCCTGAGGGAGTTGCAACCAGGGATCATAAATCACCTACGCAACATGGAGCCTGGCTGGTTGGTGGTGGTCTCTAACTGGAAGCCCGCTGCGAACCCTATGGTTGCAAGCAGTTCGAAAGGTAGCTGGAACCCATTGCCCTTCTTGGGGTTGACCCGAAAGGTGGGAAGCCACTTCCAAAAACATCAAAGGCAGCTCGGACGCAAAAGAGGAGGCTGAAACTGCCATGCCGGGCAACCCCCCGTTCACCAACATGGGACCCACCACCTCGCAAAACCGCCTCCGAGCAAACTGCCAGAGCTTGGGCCAAATGAACCCCCCGGTTGATGAGCCAGGAGTCCACCAAGCATGGCAGCGGCCACTGCACCAAGATGCAGGCCATCCTCAGGCGGCCAAACCCGAGGGATGGCGTGCCATGGACGGGAGATTTTGCAAGCCCAGTCCTCACCCTAGCTTCAGTCATGGAAGCTGACAGGGTGTAAGACTAGTTTCCTATTCCACTGAACGTTTGTTGGGACCTTGTGGCTCAAACCCGCTTTGGGCGCCTGAAAGATGTGCGGCAATCGAACGCTCAAACTTTTTTGAGCTTTTGAACTACAGACATCACTGCACAAAATCCGGCACCAGCCTACGAACTGTTGGCCCTTTACAACGGCCGCAGAACTGAAAGGTTTGATCCAGCATTCAGTTGTTAGTGGTTAGTACCTCTTTAGCTTGGTTGCTGTTGCCCCGCTGCAAAAAGTAACTTTTTTTTTGTTTTTTTTTAAATGCTGGATTTCCCAAAAAGTCTAAAGATCCGAATCCAACCCAATAGCAGTCAAGTGATCGCCCAGAGAGTCACTGAACAAGTTTTTTCGCGACCTGAGATGGAGGTACTTGCACAAGTACCGGCCGAACAAGCGCTGGTATGTGGTCACGGACGACGACACCCTGGTGAACGTTCCAAGGCCTCTCCTGCCCGCGAATCCGCCTGGAAGGTTCGTTTTACTTCTAAGTTTGGGAGGAGTGAGTTTGGCACAGCCCCCGCAGTCAAAAAGGTTCATGAGGGAACACCGAAACATGGTTGGAATCCGTCCGGGTTATTCCGGGTTTCCGCTGAAGACCAAACAAGCAGTCCTCCAGAGTCTGAGGTTCCAAACATTTAGTAAATCTCAAATCGCTTTGTTTGTTTCTTCTTTCTTTTTTTGTGGGGGCAAACGAGAGGCTGCTACGCGTCTTGGACTCCCACGATGACACCCAAGCTGTGTATCTTGGTGAGCGCTACGGATGGTCCCACATGCAGGACTGCTGCATGCTTCCCTGGGGTGGGGGGAGTAGCGGGGGTTTGACCGCCTGTGGTCGTATCCGTTCCACGGGCGTGCGTGTCTTCTACATCTCAGACCTGGATGTCAATGTCCTCTTGCAGGGGGAGCCGTGGATGGAGCTGGTCTCCTGGGGTTGTTGCCGTCTTGAACTTTGTAAGTGAAGCCTGGGACGACTGCTTTGACTCTAACAGGAGGTTTGAAGCCTTGATTTTTCCAGAGATAAGGGCCGATGGCTTTCAAGCTTTCAAAGACTAGCAAACATTGTTTTTTCTTTGAGCCCAAGTTAAGCCATGATCATAAGAGAATGCAGCCCTGTTTGGGGTCATGAGTACTTGATGGCGCCCTTCAGGGGGAGCACACAGAGGGACCATCCGCAGGACCGGGAGGGCACCAACTACATCACCACGGGGGCGGGCATGGCTTTGAGCGCAAGGCGTGGTTGCCGTGCCAGGCTGATGTATGTTCGGATAGTGGAGGGGGTAGAGGCAGCATCCATCCCATCCTCATCCTGCTTCTCCCGTCTCGAGACCAGACATTTTGAAACCACACCCGTGCAGACAGCATTTCATGTCGCGAACTTTCGGCTTCGGATTGCAAAGTTGGGCACCCTACCTCCAACAGGCATGCTGTGTTCTTTTGCAGAACCTCATTGCACGAAGGGCGCCGCAGGGTGGGTAAAGATTTGATTGCTCGGATGTGGAGCTCTGTCCTTTTCAGAGGGGTCCATGACCTAGAGGAATCTGTTTAGGAAAAAAAGGCCGCCTTCACAACCGGCATGTTTCCTTGCAAAAGGCTATGGTGTCTTTTTCGCTTCCCTGCAAGTTCTTAGAGGGCAGCGGACATCACTTGGACCCTTGTTTCACAGGCACATGGACATAACTGCTATCTAGGAAGTGACGCCACAAGCGCACCTGAACGTGATCAGAGGCTGGTGGCACCAGGTTACAACCAAGCATTTTCTTTTGCGTCTTAAGCAACAGTCAGCTAGTAGCTTAACAGGAAGCAACCAAAAAGCGCGTCCTGGTTTCAACCAATTTGCATGTTACTCTGCCCTTTGATTCTTTGGTTTAGGGGCTGCAAAACGTCCCAACCGATATGTTGTCCCATGCTTACCTACCTGTTTCAAGCTGCGCGTTGCAAACGCATTGTTTCATCCACTTTCCCAAACTTATAACCCAGTCATTACTATTCTATGAGACCATGCTCGCGCGAGAGCCAATGTTGAATAAATTTTGACCAGGTTCCCCCCAATTGGTTTGGAATTTGAGCCCCCATGGCTTAGAGGGTGCATGGGAACCAGGTTCCTCCAATTTAACCAGGTACCCCCCATGAGGGTGCATGGGAAACCCCTCCATACCCACCAAACCATGGGGAACCCACCAATTCATGGTTGTTGTTGGGAAACATTTTACATGTTTGCTTATTGTGGCTTGGTGGGAATCCCCACTGAACTGCTAAACTTAAATTGTTTGCTCTCCTTCCTACGTCAACCATGGCTTCTGCAGGTGCATGGGAGACCCCTCCATACCCACCAAACCACGGGGAACCCACCAATTCATGGGAAAGTCCTCCATATCACCCCCAAACCCGGGGGCTCGCTCCAAGCCCCGCCAATGGGGGAGGGAAGTTGACGCCATGGCCTCAGGGCCCTGGCGGAGCTGCTCGGCTGCGGCTCCTGCAGCTGCCGCAGCCCCGACGCCCCGGACGACATGTCCATGGGCTCCTGGTTCCGAGCCCTCCACGTGCAGCCGACGCTCGGCCGAGGGAAATGGAACGCAGTTTTTTGAGGGCACCTTGTTTGGGGCCCCGCCGCTACGTAATCGCGCGTTTGGACGCATTTCGTGTGTTGCATTTCGTGTGGCCTGCGTGGGACTTCCTAGACATGTATCACACAAGCGACACATTTTGCATGGTATTTCACACGCTCGCGGGTTCGCGGGGGGGGGGGGAGGAGGCGTCTTGGGGTGGGGTGGGGTCATAAGCGCCGCGCCACGCGATCACGTGTATCGCGGGGGGGGGGGGGGGTGGGGTCTTGGGGTGGGGTGGAGTCATAAGCGCCGCGCCACGCAATGTGAAGGAAAAGACTTTGCGGATTCTAGATGCGGATTTCTGTGTCCCTGTACCCTATCATAGAAAGTTCTTGTCTTGCAGCCGCATAATCATCGCATTGTTCGGTTACAAGTGTTGGAAGGTTTTGTTGGACCCACCATGGCTTGTTTCAACAGAAAGCGGACCGGGGCTGATCAAAGAATCGACATGATTGGTAGCAAGTGTCTTTTGCCAACTATTCAGCTACGCATGGGGACATGTTCTTGGTACAGCTTTGGCTTCTCTTCTTTCGGCTGGTGATCCCTTTTGCTCGCAATCTTAAATCGCTTCGAAAGCACGAAACCTAGGCGAAAAGGACCTTTCCCCCATTTTTCCAGGAAAAAACGAGAGAACCACCAGACCTCCTTCAAGTTAGTTCTTCTGTTTCGTGTGGTCTGCGCGGCACTCGGCGACTACCTGCAGAAAGCAAGGCGGTGGCCGCGCGGTTACGCGGCGGCGGCGCGTTGTTTGGGGTGGGTTGAAAGTGGTGTCTTTCTTTCAGGGCAGCTTGTTTTGGGGTGGGTGGAAAGAGAAACCACCATTTGGGGGCGGGGAAGTGGGTGTGTCTTTTTTTGAGGGCACCTGTTTTGAGGCGGGTTGAAAGGGACACCGAAAAGGAAAGCCACATTTGGGGGGGTGCAGAGAGATCCTCCGCGCAGCCACTTTTGGCCAAGGAGGTGTAAGACGAGCTCACCAATAAGCTCCTTCGGGCAAGGGTTTATCGTGTCAAAGTTGCGAAGAAAACACAATTCACCAAGCAACCTATCCTTTTTAAGCCTCCGAAGGGGTCCCTTGGTAACTTGCACGAAGAGCCCATTGTGACCCCGAGTCAACCCTTTCAAGGTTGACGGAACATGCAAGGACGGTTTCGTGTTAGTCTGGGGGAGTACCTTCTTCCTGGCTTTGGAACCATGATGTTTGCATCTCGCCAGCTGCGTCAGGCCGTGCTTGATTGTGATTTGCAACATGCTTCAAAACAGATGCAACACATCGTGTTGGGTACCAATTGTTCTTGCGGGCCGGGGTTGAACTGATGATGAAACATCCTTTGCCGCCAGATTGCCACAATCACCAGCTGGCCTGAATCAGAGTGTTCAGAGCATGTAGCACCTGTGTTGCTAGAACAGTGGTTTCTTAGAAGACCTTGGCTTGGTCTCCCAGAGCATAAGACATATGCGGCGTGCAAGGACGCACGAGGAGGGCTTTCACCAGTCGGAGCCGCACAACTACCACAAGGAGACACACACACGCATTCTTTGGTGCATTTTGCTTGGCTGTTAGGACGTTTACTTTTTGCCAACTAATGGGTTTTCCACCAAACCACTAAAGGTTAAATTTTTAGCAGGGGAGCAGACAGCAACCGAGCATTTGTTCTATGGCAAACATCGCTTGGTGCGCCAGTCCCGGTCTCAGTGCGGCTTTTCGTTTTCTCCTTGGGGGGTTGGCCCCATTTGTCGGTGGTTGTCAGCAACTCCGTGAGGCTCAGAAGTGGGTTGGAGCCCGCGGGACGTACAAAAATCCCCCAAGTGTCCACTTCTAATGGTAGTAGTCTCCCTGCAACAATCATGGACTCTGGAAGCCGACATATTTTGGAAGACTGCCTTCCTTTTGGGGGACGCCCCTGTCCACTTCGATTGTTGGAAAGAGGGTAGTGCTCTGAATGAAGTTGCGTGATTGTGGTGTTTCAAGCTAAGGGCGCTTATCATTGGGTGCTAGGGTTCCGGACGAACACTATGTTGCCAACCTCCAGAAACGTGCTTCCAAGAGTGGGGAAAACTGTTTTTTCCTGGCTTGAAACGTTTTTTGAATTGTTCAAGCGAGGTTGTATCGTTCTTCTGGCTTTGGGGTTCGGGCTTTTGCGGTTGCCTGTTCGAACATGACCCCCTTCTTACTATGGGCGTGTCTACCCTCAGAGGGTGTCTTGAGAGTCCTGGAGCTGTTTTGGAGACCAAGCTGCCAACGTAGATCGTAGGAGTCCCAATTTGCTTGCAACCCTCATTGTCTGCGAACAACTGTTTTCAGGTTTTGTTGGTGGTTTTCGGAAAAGACAATAGCTTTTTAGATCCTTTTAGTGTTTAGCGGTTCCATTTGACCCACTAAAAGTGAGTCACTTTTCGCGGGGGATCTGACAACGGCAGTCCAGACAGGACAAAACCAAACGCGACGAACCAGGAGTTGCTGGCGGCCTCCGACCCTGCGGTATCCTTCCACCGCTACAACGCGAGGCTTCCAGGCCAGGCGCTTGTGTGACGAGTCGGTTGCTTCCGTGGACAACAGTTTTTTTTGTTTTTTGAGCTTTTTTTTTGGTTTTGTTTTTTGGTTTTTCCTCCTTTTTTAGCAAGTGAGTGTGCATGAGGATGTTTTTCAACAGTTGGCCCAACCTTGCTTGCAGAGAGAGGGGGCAAGTTTTCCTTTGCTCACTGGACTCAGAATCCAAAGATCGCCTTTCGGGGCCATGACTGAACTGTGGATCCGGGGGCCTGTGGAGGGCCTGCGCACGGTACCCATCCTGAGAGGGTGCTTTGTATTTGTGTGTTGTTTGTTCTTCTTTGTCAAGGGACCCCTGAAACGATTCAGAAGTTCAAACGCCTCAAAACGCCTTTGTTGTGGGCTTTGGTGGTTGCAAGAGACTCAAAACACTGCAGTCTTATTGGTTCCACCATGTTTCCTGTTTGGCGATAGGTTGCGTGTCCTTCTTGACCGTGCCGTGCAAGGAAACTGCCGGATTCATGACCCACTTCAAGAGAACACCTCAAAACGTCTTGAATCAGCTGAGCAAATTGTAGCAGATGCTTGAGCAGTTCTAGCATACCTCAAGCTTTGGATGGGCCAAATCAACTGCGGTGGAGTTCCCCAGTATCCATCGGGTTTCATCCATCCCTGCTGCTCAGGTGTTGTCCATCTACAGTAGTGGAACCCCAGGCATGATCAAACTATGTTCCCAGTCTGGTTTTAAGGAGAGAATCTCTATCACTACCGGGTTCTTTTTAGAGACATTTTCTAGGGGTTGATTCCCCATTCTTTTCAACCATCGTTCTTTCCAAAACCCGGACCCGTTCTTTTTCTGGGTTTTCTAGAAAGAAGGATCCCTGGAAAGACTGGAAATGGAAGGTACCCCTAGAAACAAGGTTCTATATGGTTTATGGGGCCTGGGTGGCAACCAGATGAGGTTTTCTAAGAAGGACCCCTGGAGAGAATGTGGAAATGGTATCCCTATAACATGACTGGGCATTGAATTAAATGCCAGCCCAGGCCATGGCTCATGCTACCCAGGGAAGGTACCCCTGGAAACATGCCCAAGATCCCGCCCCGTTTGGAGGTTCCTATGGTTTATGGGGCCGGTGCCAACCAGATGAGGTTTTGTAAGAAGGACCTGGAAAGAATGGAAATGGAAGTGGACATGGTACTCCTACAACATGACTGGGCAAAGAAGAAAATGCCAGCCCAGGCCACGGCTCACGCTATTCAGGGAAGGTACTGCTGGAAACATGCCCAAGATCCCGCCCCCTTTGGAGGTTCCTATGGTTTGGGGCCTGGGTGGCAACCAGATGAGGTTTTCTAAGAAGGACCCCTGGAACGAATGGAAATGGAAGTGGAAATGGTACCCCTATAACAGGCATTGAATTAAATGCCAGCCCAGGCCATGGCTCATGCTATTCAGACATTTGTTTTGAAGGTACGCCTAGGAACATGCCAAGATCCCGCCCCCTTTGGAGGTTATGGTTTATGGGGCCTGGCAACCAGATGCAGGACATGGGTTTTATTTTCTCCAGGCGGCGCTCCAGCCACTGGATGCGCGAAAAACGCCGCCTGACGACGAACCCAGGCAGCGCCTCGGCGGCGGAGTTCCAGGCGGCCCGCGCGGGCAGTTGGCGCGCCTGGCGCAAAAACCACTTCGAGGAGCGAAGTGGAGGGTGGTTTTCCTCCGGGTTTTTCGGGGGCGTTCGGGTGAACAGGGGTTTTGGTTGGGTTTGTTGGTTGTTGTTTAGTTTTTGGTTGGGTTCTTTCGGGTGTTGGTGGGATTGTTCACCTGGTTTGCAAAAGGGGTGCGTGCTTCTTCGTTCTTTCTTTTTCCATCAACAAAATTGCAAGGACGGAACAATAGCCAGCAAGTATTCAGCAGGTATCAGGCAACCCTTGGGGGGGTCCATGCACGGGGGGGGGGGGGGTTAACTCATGGCTTATTAACTCCAAAAGGCCTCAACTATGCCAACCAGGGTCCACAGATGATGAAGCCCCAAAACTAGAACATGGACATGGCATGACTTCCATGGATTTCCCTTCACGAGACCACTTGTCCAGCCTGAACCCTTGGGTCGTTGGAGCAACCAAAACCTGTTCCCTTTTCCGAGAATCGCCTCTTGCAAGTCTCCTTGCTACCAGCTTTTAAGCCGGGAAAGACTTGATATCTACCTCAATGCCCGCGGAAATAGGTGATGGGTATGCCAAGGGTATGCCAATCTCGTCAAACCGCAGAGACTCGCAAAGGGGTTGGTGACCTTGCCCATTCTGAACAATTGTCAATGAACCCTAATTTTGGGTTGGTGTTTAGTCCTGGCTTTGGCACAGAGTCTAAAGCAACGGGCAGGTCTGAAAATTGGGTTAGGGACTCCCTTTGGATAGTCTCGGAGGAAGCCAAAAGCAGCCCACTGTTTGGGGGGCTCTCATTGTGGGACACACACACGCGCATAAAATCAGATTGTGCATGTGGCAGGTCGTCAATTTTAGTTTCGAGGTGTCCAATCTTAGTATTGTTTCGTGTCAATTCAACTCGTTTTCGCTGGAACCAACCGGGATGTTCACAGGGTGCGCTGAGTCGAGATCAGACGCTTCGTGAAGGCCAACGTTCGCACAGGAGCTGTGAGATTTCGTGCCAATGACGGAAAAAGGAGCATGGCCGGTGCGGGTGGGAATGCTGTGAAAGGGTCCCATGCGCCAATGCACCGAGGGTTTGAGCATAGGGCGGCACCTCAACGTACGCACAGTGAAACCACCTGGCTTTAGCTATGGGTCAACTACATGGGAGGCACATCATATTGGAACCATTAGGGGGTACAAGCGAACCAGTGTAAAGGACGAGCATCCTTGAACGTAGCCCAGGCTTTGCCGGATTTCTGCACCAAGAGGCCGCATTCAAACAATCCAAAGTATAAGTTACATAGTGGGTCCCTCCCAAAAATATCTAGGTGCTCAGGTGCATGTTGGAAGGTGCTCTGAGGCCTCAGGAGTGTTTTGCCCGAGCGTCTTTCTTTGGGGCAAGCATCTAGGCTTTTCGAAATCAATCCGCAAGATCCTTCCTTGTGCAACATTTGCACCGCGCCAAGGACCCGGGGGATCATCGTTCGGAAAGATTGAGGCCATTGAAACAGGAATCATTATTTCGACGGTTTCTGGGGGTTATCAAAGTCAGAAATGGGGTTGTTTCCCTATAACTCACCACTTAGGGGGTGACTTTGACCATGGTAAAACAATGAGGCCAGTCAAACTGCAGGCATGTACCTGCTGGCTGCTTCCTGGTCTTCAGTGACTCTGGTGTTTCTCGTCTTCCTGCCCCGCGAGCAATTCGAGTCTACTCACTTGAATGCAAGCAAAATGAAAGGGCCCAAGATAGGGTAATGACCAACATTCCCCTTACCCACTGAAGATGGTTCTTGGAGGGGGTTCTCAGTAGGGATCTGAATACTTTTTGGGGGGTAGGGGGGATCCTCATGTTTCTGCTTGCCGAAAACAATGGGCAAATGAGGATGCTCCATTGCCACACCCGCCGGTCGCCCCGTCGCAGGGTGAGCGCGCTTGGCGCCTCTTCCAGGAAGCTCGCAATGCGGGCCTGCGTAGCTTGGCCGACTTAGCCATCACCATGGACCGAAGCCCTGCAACTGGCATGGGGGTTTATGCTAAACTTTCCAAACATGCAAGACAATCAACAAAACAGACCATGGGAAGTGTAGAAAATGGAGAGTCGCCCAATTTCACAGCTTTTATCTTCTCTCCTTCCTCGCTCCCCCATGCGACACCCTAGAAAGATCTAGGTGAGTACAATCTAACAAATCAGCAGTGGATAGGATATGATTGCTAGAGATAGAAGAAGGAGTGGGAAGAGGTGGACCGCTTGCCTTGCTTAAGATGTATTTCCCAGATACGAATGAATAATGCAAAGACATAGGGAATGATTTGAAGATTTTCATGTAAACAAAGTGAAGAATCCAGATGAAATAATGACAGACATATGATGAGAGAAACAACCACTTTGTTGTATCTTAATATATTTCCATCAGCAATTTCATAAGCTGCACATCCTTTGTGTTTGTGGAACTTATATGTTCCTAAATGTTGAGCTCACACGGGGGGGAACAGCTTCCCAGCTGTTCAGTGCTGCCGGGTACCAGGGTCACTGTGCAACTAGGTTCCCTGTGAAATCTGAGGGTATCTCCTTCAAAGTGATAAAACTCAACATGGTTGGATGAGAGCCAAGCCACTTTAGGCATTTTCCACATGCATGACGAAGAGGTGCCGGTAAAACGTAGTTAACCTGGAAGTGCTTGGAACTGGTGTTTGTATTTGCTAGCTCGGTTGTGACAGGGATCCAGGTCCGTGGTGCATGATGAGACCATGTCCCGCCCACCTCCCCCAGAGACGGTTTTGCCTGGAAAGGCCTTTGTAGGTGTAGATAGTGCTTAGTCTGGTTACAAAAGCCATATGTTGGACCCTGGCGGTACGCTCCGGGGCTTTCTGAGATCATGGCCTTTGCCAATCACACTCTCTGCTTTGGATGGTTTGGCGAATCAGACCGCCGTAAAGTCCTTAGAAACCCACCAACTCATCTTTGTGATGTGCAAGCTTTGGTGTTGGGATTCGACCCCATGAGGTTCTAGCATACAACTCTCTTCAGAACTTATGTGGCAACTGCTCCACTTAGACTTCTGAAACTTAAGAGTAGGAAGCCCTGAAATACCCTTACACTTCTTGAGTCTGTGGATTCTGGCAGGTAATTACCAGGCTTCCCAAGACTGCCTTTTTGGGGGTGGCCCCACTCATAGCCGCAGACCTGGGTGACGCCCCTCCTAGATTAATAGATTTTGCTTTGCGGAGGTTTTGTCCGCCGCCTTGTTGCGTGGCTCTAAGGGTGAGATGTTGCGGGATGCAAAGGCTATGAACAATTTGGACTGGGCCCCGGAACTTGTTTGTCCTTCTCCATTGCCATATCTTACATTGAGATCGCAGGAGGACCTCGAATCTGAGGCCTGGACATCGCCATTTACAGCGCCGCGTCCTTGAGCCAACTCCAAGCGGGTGGTTTCCTTTTGGGTGGGTCGTTTTTGTTGGGGAACCCCCCTTTGGTTGTGAAAAGGGAAACCAACAGGAAAGCCACAATTTAAGGTGTCCTTTTAACCACCAGCCAAAAAGGGCTCCCTATTTTGGTTAACACTGACTGAGAGAGAGGCAAACAAACCTGCATCCTTAGAGGAAACGACCGGTACCTTGGTTCCCTTGCCTGCAGTCATCTTGGCTCGGTAGCTGAAGTTGATCGTTCTTATAGAAAGCATTCAGTTGACTCAGCTGATTCACCTTGTTAGATATTGCAGGGCACAACCGTGTAGATGATTCCCTGGCAAGGACATGCAAGGGCCCTTTTGACACTTCCTAGGTTTGCTCGAGTTCAAGGGTCTCATTTCTTTGGTGCATTTTGCTTGGCTGTTAGGACTTTAACATTTTGCCTAATGGGTTTTCCACCAAACCACTAAAGGTTAAACTTTTAGCAGGGGAGCAGAAAGCAACCGAGATTTTTAGGAAACGATTGTAGATCCTAGGAAAGGCGGCAGGCTTTCTGATGGCTTGCACCCATTTCGACCTGAGGCGGTTACCAGCGCTTGTGACCATGTGCAGCAGCGCCGGCTCTCGGATGGGTTGCAGGGTTTGGGCAGGGCTGTTTCCTGAGAAAAACAGATCTCTGGGCAAAATGGGAAAGCTGGAAGTATGTATATATTGCTTGCTTTGAAATAATTGTGTGTGTAACAGTGTATGTAATTGCGCACCTTGCGGGTGAACGAGGGAGCGAGCCACCTTACCTAGTGCGGATACATTCTCAGAAAATCGGTTCCACCTGGCCCGTACACAGGCTTTTTGTGGATTCCCCCTTGTCGCTACGGCCAGGCAGGGAGGTTTTAAGGGCTTTGTCATGGGCCCCACCATGGATGCTTACAGCCGCCGTTTCAACACCTCGGGGTTTTGGGTCCGACTCCCGTACCGGGTTTTGAGTCTGACTCAGTTGCAATCCAAAGATGAGTTGGTTTCTGCAAGGTTTGCAGGGCCTCCTCGCCTGTGCAATGCCCCTGGATTCCTGGGCCCAAGTTAAGATCCTTTCGTTTTCAACAACATTCCCCACATCCACAAACTCAGCCACGATGTTGGCAAATCCATGTCGGCAGGATACAATATGTATGTCGGTGACTCAAAAAATTGCATCAGACTCGCGAATATACAAGCGCCTCAGGAATTGGTATCTTCAGATAGGCATGCCGACTTCGAAATGTTCTGCGGGACCATAGTACATATGATCCCCTTTGAGAAGGGGATGAAATGTGATTTTAGCAGGAGTCCATAGCGTTCCCCCCAGGGGGGAACTGCGCTATCCCCGTTGGACTGAACCAGATGTTCGGGACATCCTGATTTAGACCATTTTCCTTGTGAAGGGACCAGGTTCCGGATGTTACTAACTTGGTGGGAGGGCAATGCAATTTGCCTGGAGGTTCCTGATTGGATGCTTTAGGTGGTCCCGGGCACTGGACTTGCTACGCCGGGGTTCCCAGTTTGCAGCGGGTCTGGGCGGCTTGGGTGCACGGTATTGGGACCCCTTGTGCCCCCTTCAAAAGTGGCGCCAGTCTTTTTCTGGGAGGCATGCCGAACTTGGCAGAGGGTGTCTCCTGCTGAACTGAAATCCGGGGAACATGACGACAAGAGGTCCCTGGAAGACTTCCGTCCCGCGAAAAGGACTTCATGGTAGGTTCCATGATAGTGGGTGGGAGTGCATTCCAAAGATCATCAAACGCTTGCGGAGCAAGATTGACAGGCTGGCAGCACAGTCTCTGGCAAAAGCTGATTGGGGAAGCTCACATTTCTGGCGCATGGGATTCAATGGCCCATGCTTTTGACCAGAACCCTCTCGTCGTGCACGTCCTCGTTTGGCTGGGGACTGAACTCCACTGGAGGGCTCGGATCAGCGCAACAGGAGTGCGGCGCCCATGTCTTCAGATGCGACGGTCTGCGTCGCGGAGAACAACTGCCACAGATGTGCAGGTGATGCTGCGCGGGTTTACCTGGATGGATTTGTAGTCCCAGGTCACCAAATGAACAGGGCTCTCTAGGGCTCTCCATGCGTCCCCCTTTGCTTGCTTTAGATAATCTGGCATCTTCTAGTCAACAGGCACTTTCCTCTAGGCGGGGTGACGTTGAAAGCGGAAACATAGGGAATCCTTTGTTTTTACCCGTTGCCTTGTCTCCCAAAATCACCTGGTTCCCCAGTCAAACTGGAGTCCCAAAAGAGCAGGTTGAAACATACACCACCCAAAGATGAATATGCCCTGAGGAAGATAAACTTGCGACCACCACAAAGAGCCCTGAAAGAAACACACCTTGTTGCCCCATGGTCATTATGCGCAACGCGGGCATGGGGTCCCTTGGACAGTCGGATGTAAGAAAGGTGCAGCCACCTTTCTTGCTGCAAAGCTAGCAGCTCTATGTGTCGGGAAGGGGGTGTGAATTGTTGCACACAGCTACGGGTGTTGCACAAGCTGGTTTGAGGCTCCCAACGAATTGCGCTCACAGTCCCTGAGTTCCTGGACTTGAGTCACTTTCTGCGAAGATAATTTGAGTGGAAGACAAACAGTTCGGGCCATCCACTCAGGAAGTTAGTGCTCCCTTTAGTTTTTTAGCTGATACCAGCACCCCCCAATGGCTGGCCAATTGCCGGCACATCGATTTTGGGCAAAACGATGCTACTTTATGTCTAAGTGACTGCAAAAGCAATTTGCTATCAAGTATCACTTATCTGTACTTAGTGCAATTTGTGCAATGATACAAGTGACCTTTCAGGGTCCTTTGGAATGGGGTTGCAGGGGAAAGGGGAGAGCAGCAAATTTGAGGTTTGGAGGGCAAATTTGAGGTTTGGAGGGCAAGTTTGAGGTTGGGAGGGGTTCTTGAGGAGCGTGTCACGGCGTGTCGGGGGGTGGCCAATTGGCGGCACATGTACGTTGAACGGTCACTTTTTTTTGGATATGAGCGTGTCACCAGCGCTCCCGTTGCATGTGCAATGGATCCCCTCTAGTATCCTGAAGTGACGTTTCAACCAAAGTGACTTTTCACTGCACTTTGATGATGGCAACAAAAAACTATGTGACTACAAAACCAATTTTAAGCAAGTGCTGGTCAATTGCCGGCACTTCACTCGGTGGCCCTTTGCCTGTAGTTTTGGTTGCGGGCTTCCTGTGGGCCGAGGATCAGCTCTCGCAGAGGCCGGAATTGCGGGAGTTGCACGCGGGGGAACGGACATCAATGGTTTGTTGGCGACCTCCAGAGGGGGGCCATTTGACAGCTGCGGGGGCCTGGAAGGCGATTTGTTCTGTTGTCATTCCAGAGCCCAATTTCAGACCTGGGCGTCAAACGAGCGGTGTAAGCTCGTGTTTCGGGAATGCAGTTTAGGCCTTGACTGATGTGGGGGTTGAACCATTTCAACCCTTGTCACTACCAAGAGGGGGAGATACTGAGCCGTTGTCTCCCAAACCCGTGGAGTTGCAAGCGCCTCATGACCATTGGAGCTCAGAGGGTTTGCCCCATGAAGGCAAATTGCTTCGTTAGTCCATGACTTGCCCTTCATGAAGCTGATCTGGTAGGGGGGCCTACAACGGCCCCCGCTACCGCCGGGAGTAGTTTGCATGACCCGCATGTCCAATCTGGTAGTTGGTATTTCAGGCAACGCATGTGCAAGATATTATCACTTATGATTTTGTTTGTTGTTGTCTATGCGGGGTAACGCATAGCCGTCAAGGTATAGTACCGTATCGTACATTGGCCAGGGGCCGGCTTACGTGCAGTGTGCGAGCTTCAGCACTTGCGATGGCAGGATCTGGGTTTGCCTGCACTCTGAAGCTTGTCACCATGTTCATCGCGATCGTTGGAAAGGGGCCCCCGAAAATAGTTGGTTTCCTTTTGCCTCCTTTGAAAACCTGCCAATCACAAGTTCCCTTTCAGCAAGCCTCAGATGAACGACGCTACAGAGAGCTTAAAAGGAAGTCAAGCACCACTGACCTCAACTGGCATGCTTGTCTTGCGTCTCCTACTGGCAGTGCCACCATGCCCAGGAAAACTCGTTTTTGCATGCGTACCGTGCCTCTCAGATGGCAAGGGTATTGTTAGCTGGTTGCATGTAAATTGGAGCTACCCCCCCCATTCGCCGAACGTTGGAATTGATTGAAGGCCACAGGCACGTTCCAAAAGTTAGGAGATGGACTAAGCTGATTTCAAGCTGCCAAAAACGCCCCTGCCGCGGGGTTTGGAGCTACCCTGAGGCCTCCGACCGCATGCCTCTTCGTTTTCGGCTGTACAGCTGCAATTTTGTATGGGTAGCTTCGCACAAGCAACTGAAGTCAAGCATTTAGTTTAGACTTTGCATGCCGTGGTGTTGCCTCCAATTATGGCCGCTATGGCTTTCGCACCCATGTGGCGTGGCTATTTGCAATGCGGTGTGAAAAGACACGGACTTCCAATGGCTGGAGCAGCGCAGCCTGGTTGACGATTTATCCGCTTTTCTGCACAAGCCTCATCCCCAGACATCCAACTGTCATCAGCAAACGTGTCTTGATTTTCCATCTCCGAGATCGTCCTCCTGAAGCTTGTTCGGAATGCTTATCCTTATCGCCCATCCCCTCCTGCGTCCGCCCTTCGCTGCTGCGGCAAGCTGTGCCTTTCAGCGTCGGCTGCGCCATGGGCAAAGCGAAGACGCTGAAGGAGGCGTGGCTCGTGCTTGGGGGCAGGGGGTGTTTGGGTTGCATAAAATGGAGTCAGGGGTGGGTACATTTGAAGTTCCACCTTCCCTTCTGAGGGAAGGACCAACAAATGGCATTGGGAGGCGCTCCTTGAGGTAATCAGGGGTCATGAAATGACCTTCATGTTAGGGAGGGTGTATATATATATATATATGTGTATGTGTGTGTCTATATGTATATATATATATATGTCCATATTATGTATAATGTGCAGACATCTGGGATGATGTAGATTGTCGGTTGATGCTATGTACGACCTGCCAAAAGGAGTTGATCACATGTAACCAACTGGATTTTCCAGGGCCAGTGGCTCAGCACAGGGTCTGGGGATCAAAGTATGCAGTTTCATTCAACGGCTCTCCCGAGAGAGCGGTGCAATGTTTGGGTGCGAATCGCAGCAATGCCATGTTTTTTTGCTTGGGGGGGGGCGGTCTTGTTTCTATTCGGCTCCCAAAAGGGGGGGGGAAGCTGTGTGTGCGTGTGTAGGGTGGTGTTTCCTTCTGGAGATCGCAGAAGGTTGGTCTCCTCTGGCCTCCTTCCGCTGAACCAGTTGTACTTCATCGTTGCAGGCTCCGGTTCTCAGATGACCCTCAATTGGTGGCTTGGATTGGTTGAAGCCCTGGAATCTGGTAATAGATGGAAATTCGCAACCACCGAACCACCACCACAAGCCGCCAATTACAAGGAGACTGAGGTTGCTTGTGCATGCTGTTGGTTGTGACAAGCACGGCTTCCCTACCTCTCGGCCTTCTGGTCTCCCGTGTTTCTCGTCAACCGATGCATCCGCTTCCAAAAACCGATGCGAATCCGATGCGGCAGGCCAAGGGCAAGTGGCAGGCGAAGAAGCCAGAAGCCGGACCCAGCCAGGCGATGGACATCGCGGTTTTGGGAGGAGCTTAGGATTTGGGGATTTCTGTCCTCGATGGTAAGTGAGTTGCGGTAATTAATTTGAAGGGGTACGTTCCAACCTCAACTTCACGCCCCATTCAGAATCGACCCTTTGGTGAGTTGTGGTAGCTTGCCAAGATTTCGAGAGGGAGCGGTTGGAGCGAGCACCTGGAGGCGGCATTGCAGACAAACGAGGGGATGACCATTTCATAAACTGCGCACTCCCTCGGTTGGAACAGCTGGGATATGAGCAGCGTGGAGCAAGTGCAGAGTTGCCCCCAAAAACGGCGTTTGTTCTGAAACTGGGCAACCTTGTTCCGAAAGGCAACTGACCCCAGCCAAACACTGTTCACATCCCCTTGCAAAGTCTTAACTTGTTCTACTTAGAGATACGTGGACCCCACTTCCCGGAGGGATATCTAACATACCTTTGGCGCTGAGGGATTGGTCAGACGCTCACGCTCCCAACCCGGACCTCGCAAGCAGAGCGCTTGCAGCAGCAAAGTACCTGAAGATTGCCGGCAGTTCCAAGCGAATTGTACGGTTTACCATGTCCAAATCGCTTTGGCTTTATGGCTCTTCGGTTGAATCCTTGAACTTCATCTTTTTGGGAAATAACGGATTTTCCATTGGACCCCCAAACAATTGACTTTTTGAGGAGGGGTGAACGGCAACCAAGCTTGCGACTCCGGGTTTTCAGGGAGTGAAGGGGCATTTTTGCGCTTTTAGGGGGCCCTCGTTTTCACGAAAGGAGCCCATTTCTTAGAATGCGGCTAGAACCCATTCAGCGGCTGACAGAATTCGCTATGTGACCTATGTCAGCGTCTTGGTTTTCACTTTACTTTGCTATGTTGTTTTTGGGGTTGCTTTGTATTCTTGTCGGTTCTGTTCATGTTTAGTAGGGGGATCCAAGAAGCACAGCTTGTTGCAAGCCCATACCAAGTAGGCGCCAGTGTGCCACCGATCGCTTGCCAGGCCGCCGCTCCTGTGGCGCCCAGGTACAGCGACGCTGGGCAGAGATGTTTTTTTTTTCTGTTCACGGGCAGGACAAGGAGCCCGGACTGATGCCTCCTCGTTTTTCGGGGTTTAATGTGGCGATACGTGGAGGAATCCTGGGAAGATTGGTCAAGTGTTGTCATTAAACAACCCTAGGACCAAACTTGGACCAGTTTGACTAAAGTCATTCTTCTTCTTCGTCTTCTTCTTCCGAGAGCAACCCCTTTCAGAGAGAGAGAGAGAGAGAGTGGGAGGGAGAGATGTGGCTGTTCTTCGCTAATCATGTTTTTGAATAACATATGCCTGCTTGTGGGTTCAGTGGCTCTTATAAAGTCAGTTTTGTTCCTGGTTTGGATTTGTGGGCAGCGGTTCGGGTAGATGCCCCGCACCTGTCTTGGTCCATGGGAGTTTCACCATCAAGAAGCATGCCAATCAGCTCGGCTCTTCAAAGGTAATCCACAAGATCCTTGCCTTGGGTATCCTTAGGTTACGCAAGGGACCGGCCCTCTTTGCAGCGGCTTTCCTATAGGGATTATGGAAAATCGGATTGGCCAAGCCTCCATTTTGAACAGCCCAGATAGAGGCCGGGGAAGGACGTGCACTCAAAAGCTGGGCTCAGTTGACTGAGGATTCCTTCATCCCGCCCGGCTGTGACACAGATGATGAGGAGTCTGCTAGCAGCTCTGCCATGGCACATATGCGCAATTTTGGTCCATTTGGCACTCTCCTTACGCGAGCCCAAAGCTGCTCTGGGTATGTTTGCGGCATTCGGCACTCTCCCTGATACGCGAGCACATAGGTGTCCATGAGGCTCTGGTTTCAGTTTGGGCTAGCCAAGTGCCATGTTTCTGAAACCTGGTTGCGTATGCACTTTCACTTGCTGAGCCTACGCGAGCTGACTTTTCCCATGGACCCCGGCATTGTTGCATGGTCTGTATCAAGCCAAGGACAAAAAATGCACGTTCTTCTTCGGTGTTTGTGAACAGGTGCCGGATTGTGCACGCTTGCCTTCAGTGGCTTCAATCCAATGGCATTGTTTGCAGTTTGCATCCAGCGGCTGAGGATATGAAGATTCCATGACCAAGGGCCACTGGTGCCCCCCTCGGCTGTGCGGAAGAAACGAGTCGCTGGTGGAAGCTGTGAATGACTGGCACTTTGCGATGCTGAGCCTTGGGATGCAACAGATCAAAGCTGACAAGACATGGATGCATTGCTGAAATCATGGCTTTCTGTCATTCCCTGTCTTTCCTCAATCGACATTCTTGCCGCAATTCACCCTGAATCTGAGCCAGAGCGAGGGGAGCCGCACGCATTGCAGCTGAAGCAGGAGACCACTAGTGACCCACCGCAGGGGCCGGGCCACGGTGCACGGGCCACGGTGCTGTAGGCCCCAAGCCTCGATGAGGTGCCTTTTCCCGGGCAATGTTGCAGCGGACAAGGGGAATGGGTAGTTTCAGGCTGTCTGGAAGTGACGCAGGATGTCAGGCGCCTTGCGGGCGTTTTTCAGTCATGGTAATTCAGGTGTTGCATCCTAGCTTAGCCCAGTTTGCCTTGACCAGCCTTCAAACATCAAGAGGACACTGCAATGGCATTTACTTGGGCAAGGGATCAAAGGTGGGGGCTCTTTGGAAAATGTTTTCTTTTGCGGTTGGGAGATTGCGCGGATGGGAGTTGTTTGTCAAGTTAAGTATCGTGGACCCTGCATAAAGGCTTGGGTTCCATTTTTGTCTCGATTGAGCCGTCCGAAAGACGGATGGTCCGAAACTCCTGTGGATGAGCCGCTGTGGACAATTGGCGTGGGCCGGCGTTTGTGATGCCAAGGGAATTCACTCACTTTGTGGTGGGACATATTGACGGAATTTACTTATTACCCCCAAACATGTCCCAGTGTGTGAGCGTGTTGTGAAACCGAAGCGCGTGGGGGGAGAGCGAGGAAACAAGGGCCCAGTCACGCGACTGCACACTGGAGCGGTTGGACATGTCAACGTCAGCCACGCCAAACAAGAGTGTCTATGAAGGCAGTTCCGAAGCGTTTGACAATGTAGACCAGCACCGCTGCATTGAACAGCAACCTGGCATAGGCTATAGCGAGTTTATCTGATATCCACGATTCATGCGCACCTAAGGAATGACTCTCACCGAAATCAGTTCTACTGGGATGCCTTGGCAGCTTGCTGCAAAGGCAAGCGCGTGATAGATATTGGCGCCACACTCAGCTTTTCTGCAACTTCGGTCGTGCGGTTCACTCAGAGCGAGGATCTTGCCCGAACTCCTTCAGTTTTCCTTGCCCGGAATGATCGCGACATATGGTAATGCAACCAACGCACAAATTCTCTTTGGCGGTTTTGACGACTACCCCAAGTATGTTGTGCCTCAGCCAGAATTCAAAAGCATGTTGGGCAGGAGCTGCATGGTTAGGTTGAAGGATGGGGATTTGGAATTGCTTGATGATGGGAAAACAACCCCTTTTCTGGGACCTCTTCCGACATCGATCGTTTGGCATGCTTGAGTTTGCCCCACATTGGCCAACCAACAGCAACTCTTTTCGTTGGGGTCAGCTGACAACTCTTTGGCCCCATGAATTTCCACATCATTGGCTGGTTGATCCTCCAAGAATTTGAAATACAGATTCCCCGCAGATTTCCCTTGCGACAACAAGGGGGGACACTGAACCGAGGCTTAGCCGCATTTGGTTCACCAGGGATGGGCCAGATGTGGTGGTCCCGGTTGTTCTAGCCGCTGGTTCCACCGCAGGGGCTCGATGTTACAAGCAGCCGGGGGGGACAACACAAACCGCTTAGGACATCTTTCTCAATTCGCCAGACTTCTGACACGTTTCCCCGTTGGTACTTTCGGATGAAATTGCCGGCTTGGTGGGGCCAAGAAATTGACAAGACGTGTTGAACAAGTCACCTGGCACACGTGGATGTGTTTCTTGGGTCCCTTTTGACTTGCGTTGCAGCTTTCAATGGACCGCGGACGGAAGAATTTGGGGAGTGCCCTCAACTTCACGGGTCTCTCTAAACCTTGGGGACCTTTCCGGGTGCTTGGTGTCTACTGACTTCCTGAGTTCATGAACTTCAAACTTTTTGGGAAGACCATTTTGGTGGTAAATATAAAGTTTGGACTTTTTTTGGGCCATCCACTCAGCCAGTGAGTTTCTGGTTGTTCTCCTTTCAAACCTGCCCCCAAAAACGGGGCCTTCGCCTTCGCCCCAAAAAATCGCGACGCCCACCCAGGCGCCGGCAGCGGCCTGCTGTCGCTCATGGCGGCCAAGCTGGGTGCGGAGTCGGTGCTCGCGATCGAGGCCTTTTTTTCCGACTCCTCGGCGCGACGTTTCCGCAAGCGATGGGTGTTGCACGTTCCTAGACATCTCAATATGGCTGTGGCTCAAAAAACCGGTACCAAAATGGAACCCTGGTAAGTGGAAACATGGACCAAGACCTGCGTAACCCTAGCTCTTTAATTTTGAGCCACTGCCATATACACCTATTTTATGAGACTTCCAATTGCCTATCAGTAAAGCAGGGAGGTTCATGGAATGTGTTTCACTTCCTGAGTTCCCTGGACTTTAAGTTTTTTTTTTGGGGGTTGGAGTATATAAGTGGCAATGGAACGGTTTGATTGCTTTTTGGGCCAATCCACGGAGTGGGTGCACGCAAGTGTTGATTCCCTGCTTTTGCCTAACCATGCATTCTGCCAGGGTTTGATGCACTTCTCCCAGCTTTGTGCATTTGCCCCGTTGGCCTCCCGTAAGAAACAACCCGAGAGTCACCTGAAACAAGTTTACGCACCCAAATACGTGGGGGCGGCTTGGTTAACGAGCCCTCAGGTTGTGAATGTTGGCCAGCGAAGCCTTCGCACGACACCAAGAACAACAGCGTGCCAGCATATGCAACTGAGCAGCAGCGACACAAATCACCAGGAAGAACTTGAGAGCCAGTGTATTAACTGAGAATGTTTGCACGAAGGCTTTGAAGGCCCTTGCAGGTTCATTGCAGATCCGCATGTGGCACCTTTTCCATGCCTGGCCCGCTCGCAGCGCGCGCTGGGCCCAAGATTTCTTTCTGTGCATGCTCGCACAGATCCGCACCAGTGGCTGGCCGCAAAGAGTGCACGCGGTCCGCTAAGTTGGTAGCGGAGCCCTCCTTGGAGGGCCCGAGCCATGGTCGATCCTGGACCTCGCCCTGGTGCTGATGGACATGATCCCACTGGCATGGGTTCTTCTGGCCTTGGTATAGGCATGCCGCCCTGGCCACATGTGAGCAGTCCCTTTGCTCCACCCCAGGAAGCCGGCACGCCATGCAGTCAAAGCCAGACCGTCCCGACGCAGCAGAGGATGTTCGGTGCGACGCCTACGCCTTCGTGGGCACCGGCACCTGGACCTGACCTTCATGATCTTGCGAGGGATGATGACCTCCGATGCGTGTCGTGTGATGCCTCGGATTACCAGTTCGATTGGGAAGGCAACCGTACCTGCAACGCGTGCGGCTATGCGGAGTTCTACTCGCCTACGGAGCCCTACGTTCGTGAGGTATCTGGCGGAGTATGGAGCTTTACCCCTCAAGGGTTTCCCCATCCTGATCCTCGAGGACACCAAGCGCAGCAACCACTACATCCTCACGGTCCACCACGGCCAGTCGCTCAACCCCAGCTGCCTCGACGCGCCCGTCAACGGCCCGCTGCAGGAGTTCGAGCCGGCCATGGACCCCCTGATCCGAATTCCGAGGGTGGAATGAGCGAACGAGGCGAGAGTGAGGCTCCTACGATCGATCCAATCGTGGACCCTGACCAGCCTCTGAACCGACCACCTCGACGCCGTCGCCGACGGCCAGATCGCCCACAGCCTAAAGCTGCCCGGCCTTCTGCCAAACCTGACCCACCTGGAGAACCTGAACAGCTAGACCTATGGGATGAACAGCTTCCAGATCCTGAGGATGAGAAGCCTTCACGCCTGTCTACCTCTTCAAGCTGGAATAGCTTGAAGGGGCCCACCAAGGGCGTGAAGTTCCGTGGGGGAACTCCCCCAAATCCCCCGGCATGGCAGTACGACAAGGGTGACCTCCGTGCCTTCGCCAAATGGAAGAAGAGAGTTGAGATTTGGATGATCCAAATCGCGAACTACGTGCCGCTGAAGGAGACGGGCATCTTGCTGTACAACTCCCTCAAAGGAGAACTGGAAGAAGAACTGGAGGACGCGGACATCAGCCAGATTTACAACCCTAAGGGGGTGGAGTTCATCCTCAACACCCTCAGCCGCGCCATCGAGACACGCTCGGTCCACCTCAAGAGAAAGCTCTTGGCCGACTACGAGCACCTGTACCGCCACAACGGAGAAGGAATGCGGAGCTTCATCAACCGCTATCAGCGGTCTGAGCGAGCACTCCTTAGCGTCAACATCATGGTGGAAAAGATGTATGACGGGGAAGCTCGAGGAGCACGCATGCTCGAACGGACCAAGCTCCCGGTGGAGATGCAACGTCAAGTGCTCATCGGCACGATGCAGTCCCTCGAGTTCGACACGGTCAAGGATGCCTTGTTGTTTCAGTATCCTGATCATCGGGCTGCACCACCCCTTTTTGGACAGCATCATGGAGCTCCACCTCATCACCGACAGCCTTTCAAGGGCCGCGGGAAGGGGAAGGACAAAGGCGCTGGAAAGGGCGACGGCAACAAAGGTAAGTCGCAAGCGTGGATCACCGACTACACCAACGACGAACAGGACTATCAGCAGACCGACCAGGAGTATGAGCCCAATGCAGATGACAGCCTGGACATCATCTATGAAGATGGACCAGAAGAAGATCCTGAGGACGCCGACCAGGAGGGGGAACTGGACGACGACCAGGACTGAAGAGATCAGCCAGATCTTAACGGTTACAGCACGCAAGTTGGCAGGCATGACCCAGGCCCGCAAGTTCCGCAACACTGGCCCCGGCAACAAGCGAAGCATCGCCGACCGCAAGAAATCGTCTCACTGTGCAGCTTGCGGACAGCCAGGACACTGGAAGGGTGATCCGGAATGTGGAGCCAGCGGAGGAGCTTCGTCTTCCACACCGCGACATGCCAAAGGCAAAGGCGGTGGGAAGGACGGTGGCAAAGAAGGAAAAGTGGCCAAGGTCCATTTTACTCGCCTTCGCCCAGGGCATGATGAGTTAGATGAACAGCCTGACCAACACACCTCACATCAGGTTTACACCATTTCCTTGCCCCCTGTTCAGCACCACAACATGCAGGTCGGATTGACAGGCGCCCCCCAAGCTGCAGGGTATGTCATTCTGGACACGGCTTGTCAGCGGTTGTGTGCAGGCAAGGAGTGGTCCCAAGCACATGCCACCAAGTTGTCACGCCACCGGGTGGAGGCCTTCCAGGTGGAACGCAACGAGGTTTTCGAGTTTGGCAGTGGCCCCCCTTTGACTTCTACCGTCACGTGGGGAATTCCTGCAACCTTTGCCCACAACTTGTGCATCCTGTTCCCCTGCATCTTGGAGGCCCCCATTCCTTGTTTGGCAAGCAGATCACTCCTCAGCACCTTGCAGGCAGTGATTGACCTTGGTAGGAACGAGGTTTACTTCGGCGCCCTCAACGCCACGGCAACCCTCCACATGGTCAACGGCCACATTGCCATCAACATACTTGAGTTCACGTGGCGGGACCCCAAATTGGCATGGTGGCGGAATCATCACCATGACTTGCCCCGACGGTTTGGTCATGGTGAGCTCGGAGATGAAGTTTATGTGCCAGAGCTCACGTGTGCCCAAGCACAGATTCCAGGTCCGACCCATGCAACAGGACCCAAATCGACCACTTCCGCCGCCATGGTTGCAGAAGTGGAGACACATCGTGAGGACCACGATCATTTGGAGCCGACGAGCGCAGAGGTTTCTGCGGACACCTATCACGCCGTCTCCTTCGACGGCAACCTCCAGCAGTACCATACCGGCGGGAGCGTACCCGAAGACGAGACCTACGGCAACCAGGCCGAGTGCTCCGACGGCAAGTTCGACCGAGACCAGCGCCTACGCGCTGACCGAGCCCAACAACCAGTGCACTCACAGGTACTTCCGGAGATCAGGCAACCGGCACGGCAAGTATGCCCAGTGCCAGGAGTGCCTTCGCAAGTGGCGGTGGAACAGCACCCACGGAGGATGGGAGGCCTTTACTCCGGCCTCGCGCTCATCACCATTGCCACTGCCTTCCTCAACAAATGTCTTGGATTCGTCTTGGAGGAGCCACCTGCAGGACGACATACCACCACTTCCTCTCCAGGACCAACGCCAAATGCCTTTGCCAACGCAGCGGCGACCAGCTTCGACCTCCTCCAAGGCCAAGCCGAAGCCAAAGACATCGGCGTCACCATGGGCGTTGCTCGAGGAGACAAGGCGACAAGCGCTGGAGCAACCGGTGGAGACCGAGACGGAACTGGGCGACTTGGACGAGTTCGACCTAGTGGAGTTCGATTGGGAGAACGCCGACGGCTAGCTGGGAATCTTAAGCAAGCAGCACAGGTCCTCACCGTGGAGCAGAACGTCTACGGCAACCTCCCGAGCAGCATGGACAACAAGTCCAAGATCGACGTGATGGAGATGTTCGCCGGCGCAGCGGAAATCACGCACAGGGCACCTTCCTTCGGCTTGAAGTCATTGCAGCCTTTCGACTTCGAGTATGGACTGGACCTCAGCTTTGAGGAGCACCAGCAGACTTGGGCCGATGCCCAAAGAAGGTTTAAGCCCCTGGTCATCATCGCCGGCATTGAGTGCACCAAGTGGATTATCATGAACGAGAATATGAACTACCTTGGCAGAGGTAGGATGGATGAGCTGCGAGAATTGCGAGCAGCCGAGAGACCACTCGTCACCTTCACCACGGACGCATGTTGGCAGCAGCTCACCGACGGCAACTTCTTCCTTTTGGAAAACCCGGCACCAAGCCGACTATGGGAGCTACCCGAGGTGCACGAGCTCATGGTGCACCCGGAAGTCTACGTGGTTCGTGGACATGCTGGAGCGTATGGCGGGACTACGAGCACCGGCGAGCTCATGAAGAAAACCTTTCAGTGGGTCACCAACTCTAAGGAGCTCGCAGATTCAGTCTCAGCCAAACTTGGAAGCGAGATGCTCTACTACTGCAAGCCGCTTCTGGGCAAGGAACTTCGCCAGAGCGCCAAGTACCCCGACGCCCTAGTCAAGAGCATCCTTCAGGGAGTCCGGGTGGAAGCCCAGAGACGGTTCCCCCAACGCTTCTTGAAGGTCAACGAAGTCTACGTTGCAGAGCCTGTGGAGGACCCTGCAGCATGGGCAGAAGTTC